AGTGGTTGAAATGATGCTTAGGATGCCTGCACTCCATATTAGAGCGTCTAAGGCAAAGGTTATGGTCTTGTCTTAGGATTTCCTGATGGATCCTCTGAAAAACTATGGGTTCCTCTATGGCTTATCCAGCCTCAAAAGTACAACAGCTATCTCAAATACTATCCTAACCCTGGAGAACATGGAATTCCCAACAGAACCTCTTCAAAGAATGGAAGAACTTGAACGTTCTTTTTGGTTCTGGACAAGCTGAAAGTCTACCTGAGACCCTCAGGGTTTACAACAATTGACTTCAACAGAGAGACCTTGGCGCTTCAAGCAGTACTTCAGACACCTAATGACTTATCATCTACTAGGGACCCCTAGATCTACCCCCTGAAGAATCCCCTGCTGCTGTTGCCCCTCTACACCCCTTCTCAACTTAAAGCAGCCAGAGCAACTGTCATCCCCTGTCCTTAACAGCAGCTAGGGTCCATTCTTCTGGGGGAAGGAATAGGGAAGTCAGACTGGATAATAGGCAGTTAGCTCTTGGGTCCCTGGTGAAGTTGCCTTTGTAAAATATAAAATCCTGTTTCTTCCCATTTGTTGCCCTTCTAAGAGCACATTCTCCCTAACTTGTTCCCTCAATCCTAGTTCACAAAACAGAGAAGGGAAGTCTGTAGGCAATAGATTGGATATACAAAATAAAGATACTTGCAGGCAAGGGTGTGGAAACAATTGATCAGTCCCATAGATAGGCAGATGGGAACTCCCATAATCTCAAATCAACTCCCCTTTTGTTGATATGTAAATTCCTCAAACCCTCCTCTCTTATCCTATGTGATCCTCAGTCTATAAAAGCCTGATGGCACTAATAAACTATGGCTATTTGCCATCAGTCAGTAGTCTACATGTGTTATTATTGGCTCTGTGCACCAAGTGCATCGCTGAGAGGCAGTGAACAATTTAAAAGTTAAAGATTAGAAGCTAATAGAGACAGGTGATTAAGATGGTGCTTAGGATGCCTGCATCCCATGTGAGAGTGCCTGGTCTGAATCCCAGCTCTGCTTCTGATCCAGCCAACTGCCAGTTCTCACTCTGGGAAGGCAGGTGTTATTGGCTCAAGTTCTTGGGTCCCTGCCATCCTTGCAGGAGATGTAGATGAGTTCTGGCTTCTGGCTTTGGCCTGACTCAGGCTTGGCTGTTGCAGGCATTTGGGAAGTGAACCAGTGAATGGAAGATCTCTCTCTATTTTCTTTCTCTCTCTCTGCTTTTCAAATAAAAAAATTAAAAATGAACAAAGTTTTCTTCTTTTTCAATAATTATGATTTTGAGGGAAAGTATCATCTCTGTGTGTGCAGAAGATGGAACATCTACCAGCTCAGCAAGTAGCCTGCACCAGCCCCTAGGTCACTCCTTGGCTACTGCCTACAAGGTTAGACATTTTTTTTAATTTTATTTTTAATAGTTAAGGCAGATATATAGAGTGGAGAGACAGAAAGGAATATCTTTCATCCATTGATGATTCACTCCCCAAGTGACCACAATGGCTGGAGCTGAGCCAATCCGAAGCCAGGAGCCCAGAGCGCTTCCGGGTCTCCCATGTGGGTACAGGGTCCCAAGGCTTTGGGCTGTCCTCGACTGCTTTCCCAGGCCACAAGCAGGGGGCTAGATGGGAAGCGGGGCCACCGGGATTAGAACTGGTGTCATATGGGATCCTGGTGCGTGCGAAGCAAGGACCTTCACCACTACACTATCGTGCCAGGCCCAGATTTTTTTTTAAAAAAAAGATTTATTTATTTTTATTGCAAAGGCAAATTTACAGAAAGGAAAGACGGAAAGATCTTCCACCCAGTGGGACGGGGCAGAAGCATAAACCTCACAGCTGTTTCTCTCCTTCATCTTGATTTCTTGACAACTACCTGTAAAGGGCCCAGCAACGACAGAATGAGACTCCAGCAGCAGAGAGCTGGGAGAGAGCAGAGTGTATCCCTCAACATTCACACATTCTCTCTGTTCTGTCTTCATTCACATCCTGGTGACCCCTTGCTACTTCTGTGTTTCTCAAGTTGACACCTGGTGAATCTTCAGGTCCCTGGTAGTCTTTTCTGGAAACCTCTGAGTCCTCTTTTAAAAGATTTACTCTTGTGTTTGCATCTGGATGTGTCATTTAAAATAAAGATATTTTTATTTTTGATGATTATGTTCCATGAGGATGTGTATTTCTGAACCATATATCCCTGATTCTTACAGCATGCTGCCTGGCTTATCCCAAATGCTCAAGAAATATTTGTTGGGCCCGGCGTAATGGCCTAGCGGCCAAAGTCCTTGCCTTGAACACATGGGGACACCATATGGGCACTGGTTCTAATCCCGACAGCTCCACTTCCTATCCAGCTCCCTGCTTGTGGCCTAGGAAAGCAGCTGAGCACGGCCCAAAACCTTGGGACCCTGAACCCTTGTGGGAGACCTGGAGGAAGTTCCTGGTATTGAATCAGCACAGCACCGGCCGTTGCGCTCACTTGGAGAGTGAATCATCAGATGAAAGATCTTCCTCTCTGTCTCTCCTCTCTGAATGTGTGACTTCGCAATAATTAAAAAACAAAACAAAACAAAACAAAAACAACAACAAAAAACAAAGAAAGAAAAGAAAAAGAAAGAAATATTTGTTAAGAGAATGACGAGAACACAAAAGAACAAAAGAAATAGAGACAACCTCTCCCTCCTCCACCTTGCCCTGCCTTTTGGAATCTGTTAGAACCAAAACATATACGTAGGAAGCAATAATGAAGCACTGTAAAGGGACTGATTTGTAGCAAAGCAGTATTTCCTTTAGTGGAAAGAAGACCAATGCCCCTCTTCATTAAGGTATATATAATATAACTACAAATTAGCAATGATTCTGTTTTTTAATATATATATATATGTAAACAGAAGATGACAGAGAACTGTCAAACACCGTTTCAATTTCCAAAGGCCTGCAAGAGCCAGGGCTGGACCAGAGCAGAGCCAGAAGTCTGCACTCAATCCTGGACCCCACACGGGCTCACTTGTCACCCCCAGGATGTTGTTAGCAGGAAGCTGGATTCCAAGCTGGGAGAACCCAAGCACTTCTATTGCCAAACAACACCCCGGGGCTAGTTGGAGGTGTCATTTAAGGCACAGGAAGATGATCACTGGCCTGGGTGTGATGGAAGTCAATGTATATTTACTGTAACGTGTAGAACAAGGAGCCAGCAGCTATTGCTTAATTCTCAGGTTCTCCTAGGAGTTAAGGTAAAGGTGCTTATAGACTGGAACTGGGGCTGAGCAGTGCATGAGCAGCTCGAGTTTAGGTTGCTGGTTGGTCTGATCTCCTGACCTTCGTTTGTTTGGTCAGCGATGCTGTGCTCATTAGGGAACTCACGGTGGCCAAGTGGATTTCAGCTGGTGGTGAGGGTGGGGAGCGGTTATCTTCTGCCCCAGACCCGGAATTTCCCTACCTGGACTTGTACTTTTTCTAAACAAACACTTTTCGCCCTGAAGAAGGTTTTCTTTATCGGAGAAGCAAATGGCTTAGGATGTCCAGAACTTTGTAGGACTAGTTTTTAAAACTTTTTTCATGTCAGTGAATTTCTTTTGATAAAGAACATGCAAGGACACTTGGGGCTAAAGGAGACAGACAAGAGGATAGGTCCTGTCTACATGATAGGGACCTAGTGCAGTATGGTAATGTGGTCAACTGAAAAGAGTCTTGACCCCACCGCATTAAACTCACAGCAGAGCGCTTTGACTCAAGCCTGCAGCCAGTGATGCGACTACGCCCCCTCCTGGCGGCGCCAGCCGGGTCCTGGTCGTCTACTGTAGAGTATGAGAGAACAAGCTGCAGAGAGGGGAAAACAGAGGCATTAGGAGCAGGTGGCCCTGCCTTTGCAGGTCTCTGGACAAGCAAGGCTGAATCACAAAAGGGACCTAGACCTTCTGAGAGGAGGCCCAGTTTCTCACTCCTGCAATCAGTGGAACAGGTTCTTCCAGCTGTGTCTTCGAAAATTAGGGCACACCGGGCCCGGCGCGGTGGCGCAAGTGGTTAAAGGTCCTCGCCTTGCACGCCCGGGATCCCATATGGGCGCCGGTTCTAACCCCGGCAGCCCCGCTTCCCTTCCAGCTCCCTGCCTGTGGCCTGGGAAAGCAGTCGAGGACGGCCCAAAGCTTTGGGACCCTGCACCCGCGTGGGAGACCCGGAGGAGGCTCCTGGCTTCGGATCGGCATAGCATCGGCCCGTTGCGCTCACTTGGGGAGTGAATCATCGGACGGAAGATCTTCCTCTCTGTCTCTCCTCTCTGTATATCCGCCTTTCCAATAAAAATAAATAATAAAATAAATCTAAAAAAAAAAGAAAGAAAATTAGGGCACACCGCAGGGGCACAAAGCCAGCAGTCAAGAGAACAGGAGGATCTGATTCTGGAATGTTTGTATTCGGGGCGTGGTTCCTAGAAGAACAGCTCCCGCGTCTTCCACTTTCAAGCGCAAGAAACACAGACCCCGCTCAGACTTCCTAAATCAGAAGCCACGGGTCAGTAACCTCCTGGCGGATGTGCAGGGACGCGCGTTCACGTTCAACAGCGCTCAGGCTTCTGACAAAGGGGTGGGGAGTCAGGAGAAGCCAGGTGGTTTCCTCCAGGGAATAGAGCCGGGCGGAGAGAAGCCTGAGGATCTACCCTGCGCACCCGGGACACTGAATGCGCAAAGGGGCGCGCAAGCGTAGGCTGTGGTCCGCATCTCCGATTAGAGGAGGAACACTCAGGAGGGCATCCTGTCGCCAAAAAGGATTCCAAATTGCCCCCTCCCTGGATCCCTCTCTGCTGTATCTCCTCATTCACCCCCAGCTCTGCCGTCGGGAACTCGGTCCACACTGCCTTTTGGGTTGATTCAGTCCCGTTCTGCTGCTTCGGCCTAGTTCGGTTGCTAAGGTCTGGTGCTTCGCGGTTGCGGAGGAAATGATGTCACGTCCAATGGGCGTGCTGCCCAGCCGCTGCCTCCTCCGAGGCGGTCTGCAACTTGACCCCTTCGGAGCCCCGCACACTCCAGGCGCTGTCAGCCTCCCGTTCTCCACCGGCCTCTCTGTTCCCACCGCCGCCCGCGCGACATTCGGCGGACAGCCCGCGCGACGCGCCTGGCTTCGGAAGCAGAGCGGAGTCGAGAGGAGAGGTGATCCCCAATGGCCACCTTCCCGTCCCCCGGGCTGTAACCGCCTGGGCTCCTTTAGATCCAATGGGGCATCCGCAGCGGGGGCGGCGCTCCGAACCGCAGGGAACTGTGGAATTTGTAGTTCGAAGCTAGGTCGGGGAGCGTGGGGGAGCAGGGAAACGGGGTCTCGAGCAGGACAGAAACAAAATCGAGAAACTTGCAGGATAAGGAGTCTCGGCCTCAGCGGGATGGGGAAGGGTGAACCGGCATTAGGATCAGAACCCTGCAGTTAGCACTATTTCAGTTTTCTTTTCAGGTGCTAACTTGAACCTGTAGCGTCCATCGACTGTTCAAGGTGGGAGTGACCAGGCGGCCACATGGAGTTGCCACCAGTCAGCCAGGCGGGAGAAAGAGGCACTTCTCCACTGCAGCCACCGTGGAAACAGAGACCTGGGGAGATGAGGCCACAGCCCCTAGAGCCTCAGCTGGGACTGTGCCCAGACTCAGCCGACCTCATGCCGCAGAGTCCTGGACACGAAGGAGGCACTGCTGCATCTCAGGGATCAGCCAACGAGGGGCCAGGGCTCCCAGCTTCTGACCTCTGGTCCTGCCCGGACGGGAGCTTTGTCAAGAAGATCATCACCCGGGGCCGTGGCTTGGACAAACCTAAGCTAGGCTCCCGCTGCCGGGTGCTGGCTTCTGGGTTTCCTTCTGGGTCCGGGCCTCCTGAGGGCTGGACGGAGCTGACCATTGGTGTGGGGGCCTGGAGGGAGGAGACATGGGGGGAGCTTGTGGAGAAATGCTTGGAGTCCATGTGTCAGGGTGAGCAGGTGGAGCTGCAGCTTCCTGGACACTGTGGACCTCCTGTGGGGCTCACGCTGGCCTCCTTCACTGCCGGCCGGGACTCCTGGGAGCTGGCGGCCAGCGAGAAGGAGGCCTGGGCCAGGGAAGAACGGGACAGGGGCACGCAACTCTTCCGAGCTGGGAACCCTCAGGGGGCCGCCAGGTGCTACGGACGGGCCCTCCGGCTGCTGCTGACTCTGCCCCCACCTGGTCCCCCAGAACGGACAGTGCTGCACGCCAATCTGGCTGCCTGTCAGTTGCTGCTGGGGCAGCCCCAGTTGGCGGTGCAGAGCTGTGACCGGGTCCTGGAAAGGGAGCCTGGCCACGTGAAGGCTCTGTACCGCAGGGGCGTTGCACAGGCGGCCCTTGGAAACCTGGACAAAGCAGCTGCTGACCTCAAGAAGGTGCTGAGCATGGATCCCAAAAACCGGGCTGCCCAGGAGGCGTTAGAGAGGGTGGTACGTCTGGAGAAGAAGCAGGAGGCGGGGCTGGCTCAGGGGCTGCGCAAGATGTTTGGCTGATTAAAAGTTTGAAACGGGGATCTGTGACTTGTCATCTTTGCTTAGAAGGTGGGAGAGTGGGAGGAGCAGTGGAATCTTAGCCCTTCTGTCTCTCCCAGACTTTTCTTTCCTGGTCTCAGAGAGACTGTCTTGGGGGGCGGAGGGAGGGGCTTATCTTTCTTCGAAGATGTTTGGAAGGCGATCAATGGCCAGGGCGCTTGGTGGTGAGCGCTGAAATCCGAGAACTACATCTCCCAGGCGCAGTATCCCGGGGCCCGTGCGGCGCATGCGCTGCTCTCTTTCCGGCTGACTTGCTCCTATTGGCTCCCGCAAGGTACAGTCATCGCTTGCATTGACGCATGTGCTCGGCTCGCCGGCCTCTGATTGGTCCGCAGAGCTTCCGGGACGCCTCCCTGTCTGAGCGAGCCAGCTGATTGGCGGAAGGCGGGAAGAGGCGGGCCTTGGGAACGGCCTCAGGGCTGGGGGGTGGGGGGGAAGATGGCGGAGCTAATGCTCCTGAGCGAGATTGCGGACCCGACGCGCTTCTTCACCGACAACCTGCTGAGTCCGGAGGATTGGGGTCTGCGGAGTGAGGCCACGGGGAGGGGGCAAAGCGCTGTGGGCAAACCGTGTGTCTGCGACACGCAGGAAGGGAGCGGGGGCCATAGAGGAAAAGCCGGGTCCGATTCGGACCTCGCCGCCGGAGGAGGGCGGAGCGGGGCTCGCCGAGCATTCCCGGGGTGCGGGAGGCTGGAAACGCCGGGGCCGGCGAGTTGTTCCGGGGTCGAGGAAGGAGGGGCCCGGGTTCCACGGTTGTCTCGCTTTTCAGTGGGCGGGCGGTGGGTCTGGCTGGGCCGAGCCAATGAGGGATGGGGCGCGGCCGTAGGCTGGGCCGCCCCCCTGACCCCGCGCTCCTTGCAGACAGCCCCTTGTACGCCGGCTTGGATGAAGTGGCCGACGAGCCGCCGCCTCTCTTTCACGGCCCGGAGCAGGATGTCCCGGTATCGCTCCCTCCCCAGGCCTCGCTTGGGGGGTGGTGAGAGAGGTCCCGGGAACCTGGTCTTTCTTACCTCCCTGTGCGCTGATGTTTGCCCAGGTGCAGTTTGACAGCAGCCCTCTGGACGTGGGCATGGACGCCAGTCCCCCGGAGCCCCCGTGGGACCCGCTGCCCATCTTCCCAGGTGAGGTGTCCGCTGCGGCTGCCTCATCTTCCAGAAGGCCTCCTCTTCCCAAGACGTTACCGGAAGCCACACAGTCCGCTCCATCCTTGTATCTCCTCTGCGTACAGAGGCACTTCTGTTCCCTTAGTCCCTGAGAACTGGTGTGCTCCTGACCATGGCCTGGTGGAGGGACCCCCACCACAACGTGTTTGGACACTTGGTTTCACACTGTATCACCTCTTCCTCCAGACCTCCAGGTGAAGTCCGAGCCCTCCTCCCCATGTTCCTCCTCCTCTCTCAGCTCGGAGTCATCCCACCTCTCCACAGAACCCCCTGGCCAGGTGAGGACTGTCTGCCTCCCTCTAATCTCTGGCCAAGACCCTGCTTTCCACCATGGGTGCGATGGCAATGGCTTGTTTGCTATGAGCCGTTAGATGGCTCTCTTCCTTCTTTTTCCATTTTGTGACCATCCTCATATTTTGTTCCTCCATGCTGGTGGTCGAGAAGTGAAAAGGAATTTTTTTTTTAAAGATTTATCTGTTCTTTTTTATTGGAAAGGCAAATTTGCATAGAAAAGGAGAGATGGAAAGATCTTCCATCTGCTGGTTCACTCCCCAAATGGCCACAATGGCTGGAGCTGAGCTAATCTGAAACCAGGAGCCAGGAACTACTTCCAGGTCTCCCACATGGGTACAGAGTCTCAAGGTTTTGGGCCATGCTCAGCTGCTTTCCCAGGCCACAAGCAGGGAGCTGGAATGCAAGTGCAGCAGTCAGGATTAGAAATGGTACCCATATGGTATCCCAGCACATGCAAGGCGAGGACTTTAGCCACTGGGGTACTGCTCCGGGCCCAGGAAATCTTTTTAATATACAGGAGTATGGAGCAGGGAAGAACAGCGGTAGCCTGCTCAGAGTTCTGGGCCTGTTCTTACCCAAGTTGTCCACCCAGAGGCAGTTTTTGAAATCCTGAGACTTTGCCAGCTCCCCTAGGAATGAAGAACAAGGAGAACAAGCAGTCAGGGACCCTTAGGGAGATGCCCAGCACCACTGGGACAAGAATGTCAAGTGACTGGTGGTTGGTGAGCACAGAACCTCGTGTTCGCTGTTATTCTCAACGCCTCCCTTGCTGATTTTCTGTGTTTGTGCCCTTGGCTCTACCTCAACTCTCATCCAGGCCCTGGGAGTACGGGAGGTGCTACATGTGAAGACAGAGTCCTTGGCACCCCCACTGTGCCTCTTGGGAGACCATCCGACACCCCCATTTGAGATTGTCCAGATCAACGTGGGCTCCACTTCTGATGACCTCTCAGGTACCAGATCACAGGTTTTGCTAAGCCAAAAGAGGAAGGCAAGGGCGAGGAGAGGAAATGGCAGGGAGCTAGGAGGGAAACTAGGAAGGGGAGGATTGTGGGAAACCACAGCAGGGGTGTGGCAGAGAAGATGGAGATGAGTTTTTTTTCCTTTTCTTCTCCTAGGACTCTATTGTGTCTCTCAACCTACTATTTGCATTAAAAATTTTTAATTTCCTTTTATTTTATTTGAAAGGCAGAGAGACAGAGAGAAGTAGAGATATTCTCCATCCATTGGTTCACTTTCCAAGTGTCCATACCATGCAGTGCTGAGCCTGGACCCTGGAACTCAGCTGGAGTCTCCAAGCAGGTGGTAGAGGTTCAGTTCCTGAGCCATTGTGCCCTCAGCTGCCTCCCAGGGCACTCATCAGCAGGAAGATGGGTTGGAAGCAGAGGCAGGGCAACACACCAGCACAGGCACTCTCCCTGGGATGCAGGTGTCCCAAGCAGCAGCTCAACTGCTGCAGCAGACACTCGTCTCTGATTTGCATTTTTTAAAAAGTGGGTGGTTTAGGGTATGTTTGTGTACTTCCCCCTGCCCCTCTGTTTTATTATGAAAAATTGTAAGCACACAGAAACATTGAAGTACCATATGCCTCATTTCTAGAGTCTCCAATTAGCACTATTTATGCTATTTTATGCTATGTTCTCAACTTGGGGTGGTGTTATAGTCCAGTGGGTTAGTCCAATGCATGGGTAGTCACATCTCATGTCGGAGTGCCTGGAAGCCAGTTCTGCCTCAGCTTCCTGTCTATCTTCTTGCTAATGTGTCTGGGAAACAGCATGTAATGGCCCATGTGCCAGGGTCTCTACCACCCGCATAGGCAACCTGGATGACTTTGATCTGACCCAGCTCCAGCTCTTGTGGGCATTTGGGGGATGAGCAGATGGAAGATCTCTCTGTCCCTCTGACCTTGAAATAAATAAGTAAAATTGAATTTTTCCCCTCAGTTTTATTAACTGTTACATGTTTATTCAAAAAATATGTAGTGATCACCTGCTCCCAAGCCAGGTACTGGACAGGGTACTGGGAATATAAAGATGAGTTAGACATGACCGCAATCCTGATTTCATAATCTTGTGGTGTAGAACAAGAAAAACAAGCGCCACTCACATAATTCTATTAGCCCATCAGAGGGTACCATGGAAACTCAAAAGAAGGGGCATGTCCCCTACTCAGGGCCAGGATCGGCCTTGTTCCTGGAGGAAGGGCTTCCTTGGTTGAATCTTGAAGCACACCTAGACTTTATCAGAGGAAACTGCATGAGTGGTGTGTGTGTCTATGTATGTGTAAAATGAACCTGTATTTTTGCATGCGAGCAGGGAATAGCAAGGAGTTGCAGGTGCTACAGGTCCCTGCTGAGGGCTTCAGCTTTAATGGGCAATTGAGAGTCTTTGAAGAACTAAATGAAGAAGCAGCATGACTAGGAAGATGACCTTGGTCATTGAGAGTTGAGAATGGACCATGGAGAGGCAGGGCTGGAGGCAGGAGGATAGTGGAAGAAGCTACTACAGTTTATTATGATTCCAATCCCAGGAAGAAAACAGATTTGAGACAGACTGAGGTGGATGGGTGAGTTGGAGTGCCCCCCTGGGCACTGAGAAGAGAGGTTCTGGCGAGGGCAGCTGCCAGCGGGTAATGATCCTGTTCACTGCTTGGGCAGTGTTGTCCCTGTTGGCTGTTGGGCCTTCTGGTTCTTCTGGCGCCTGCTCTTACTGGCGGATTCATACGGTGTTTTAAAACATTATTTTATTTAAGAGGCAGAGTCCCAAAGAAAGGAAAATAAGGAGATCTTCCATCTGTTGGTTCCAAATGGCCGTAAGAGCCAGGGCTGGGCCTAGCCAAAGTGGGAAGCCTAGAATTCCATCAGAGTCAGTATCATTGAAGTTTCAGAATACCAATATTAGTGATCGTATGATGAAGCACCAAAATGAGAGTTGAGGGACAGGGGACGGCTCTGTCCTTGGACTGTTGACCTCTGGGCTGAATCTAACCCTTGGAGAGATCTGATTTCACCTCCACAAAGCCCAACATTGGCTTCCCTAGAGGATCAACAAATGAAGGCACAGGGTGCCGAGTTTTGTAAATTGGTACCTGGGCGGGTGACAGATGTTGAAAGGGCACTTGGGTGAAGGGAAAAACAGTGAGCCTCTTGTTTTTTAAAGATATATTTATTTTTATTGCAAAGTCAGATATATAGAGAGGAGGAGAGACAGAGAGGAAGATCTTCTGTCTGATGATTCACTCCCCAAGTAACCGCAACTGCTGGTGCTGTGCTGTGCTGATTCGATGCCGGGAACCAGGAACTTCCTTCAGGTCTCCCACACAGGTGCAGGGTCCCAAGGCGTTGGGCCGTCCTCGACTTTAGCTGCTAGGCCACTGCACTGGTCCCAAGATTTATTTATTTTTATTGCAAAGTCAGATATATACAGAGAGGAGGAGAGACAGAGAAATATCTTCTGTCCGATGATTCACTCCCCAAGTGACTGCAGCTGCTGGTGCTGTGCCAATTCGAAGCCAGGAGCCCAGATCCTCTTCTGGGTCTCCTACACAGGTGCAGGGTCTCAAGGCTTTGAGCCATCCTTGACTGCTTTCCCAGGCCACAAGCAGGGAGCTGAATGGGAAATGGAGCTACCAGGATTAGAACCAGCACCCATATGGGATCCCAGTGTGTTCAAGGCGAGGGAGGACTTTAGCCACTAGGCCATGCCGCCAGGCCCAGTGAACCTCTTTTAAAGGCCAATTGAATTGGGGTGAACGGTGGACATGAGAATGGAAGTGACCAGCAAGGGGGTCAGTTTAGGAGCCCTTGGTGGCACTGCAGACATGGTGGTGGACAGCGTGTGGTCCACTGCTAGGATACGTGTGGTCAGGAAATCAGCAAGGTGGGAAGTTGAGTCGAATGAATGCTGGAGATGCCCACTGCATAGAACAGATGAGGTCTGGGAGGAAGAAACCGCGGAGAGCAGAAGGCCAAGGGCAGCAAATCTGCCTCTGGAGAAAAACAAGTGAGGGAGGAGAGGTGCGGGGAGGGGGGTGGGGCGGGGGTCAGGACTGCAGCTTAGGGGCTCCACCTGCTGGATGGCCTGCCCAGGGCCAAGATTGCTCATCTTTAGGTGCTAACAACCCATTTCCCCATCTTAACTGATCGCTTCCCCCTCCAGTGTTTCTCTGACCCCCAGTGCTTTGTCTCACCCTGCCATCCACAGATGTCCAGACCAAGACAGAACCTATCTCTCCGTCCTCCTCTGTCCACTCTGAGGCCTCCCTGCTCTCGGCTGACTCTCCCCGCCAGGTGAGCGCCAACTTCCCTTCCTTCCTCAGGTACTGTGATGTGCTCCTCCTGACTTAGAGGTGTGAGAGCTTTTCCTCCTTTATCTCCTTCTGCTCAGCCTCCTCTGACTAACCCTGCCCCGACGTAGGCATTCATAGGAGAGGAGGTCCTGGAAGTGAAGACAGAGTCCCCCTCACCCCCAGGATGCCTGCTATGGGATGTCCCCGCCCCCTCGTTTGGAGCTGTCCAGATCAGCATGGGCCCATCTCCTGAAGGCTCTTCAGGTAGTAGGACTTCTGGGTCCCCTGGGTCCCTGGTGAGTGGCCTGTGGTGCTGACCTCCCTTCCTTTCTTCTTTAGACAAAGCCCCGCCCCCCCGGAAGCCACCGCTGCAACCTAAACCTGTGGTGCTAACCACTGTCCCAATGCCTCCCAGAGCTGTGCCCCCAAGCACCACTGTCCTTCTGCAGCCCCTAGTCCAGCCACCCGCAGGTACTAGAGAAGGGCAGCACCCATCGGGCTGACCTTGGCCTGGGGCTCCCCTTGGGTGCTTGGCCATGCAGTGGACACAGCACTTGCCTGACTCTCAGCTCTCTGGTCTCCTTCCTGCTGCAGTGTCCCCAGTTGTCCTCATCCAGGGTGCTATCCGAGTGCAGCCCGAAGGGCCGGTCCCCCCTGTTCCACGGCCCGAGAGAAAGAGTATCGTTCCAGCCCCCATGCCTGGGAATGCGTGCCCGCCTGAAGTGGACGTGAGTACTGGGGACGGGAGGTCTGTAACATGGAGAGGTGAGGAGGGCCATCAGGGTGGACCTGGTTCTACTGGAGTAACAATTCCATGTTTTGGGGTCCTTAGGCTTGCTGTCACTGCAGGTGATGGAGTGGGGGTAGTCTCAGGAAATCCAAGGCAGGGAGTGTTATGGCAGTAGTTGGGGAGCAAGGTTAAACTTGGGGGCCTGAAAGGCAGTCTTGAGAAGGCAGACTCCGAGGAAGGAGGTTCCCTGTGGCTGGAGGCGTCCCTCCTGTAGCCTGGCCTCTGCTGCCTCTGGGCAGGGCTGCTCAGGGTTTTTGTGAGTGTTTTGTTGGGTCTGGCTGTGGAGACAGAGGCCAAAGAGGCAGGGTAATGGCCCATGGGAACTTTGGCTGACGGATCCCTGGGGTTGGGGACACAGCCCTGCACACCTACTCATCTTAGGTTTTTGTTTGACCTTTCTAAAACACAGGCAAAGCTGCTGAAGCGGCAACAGAGAATGATCAAGAACCGGGAATCTGCCTGTCAGTCCCGGAGGAAGAAGAAGGAATATCTGCAGGGGCTGGAGGCGCGGCTGCAGGCGGTGCTGGCCGACAACCAGCAGCTCCGCAGGGAGAATGCTGCCCTCCGGCGGCGGCTCGAAGCTCTGCTGGCCGAGGTAAGACTGCCCTGTCCTGGGGACACCAGGCACATGGGCTCCTTGGGCCGACCCCTGTCCCTCTTATGTCTTCCTCTGCATCTCAGAACAGTGAGCTCAAGCTGGGCTCTGGAAACAGGAAGGTGGTCTGCATAATGGTCTTCCTCCTCTTCATTGCCTTCAACTTTGGACCTGTCAGGTGAGCCTCTCCTTGCTTCCCAGAGGCCTCTGGGCCCACTGACCTCACAGCCGCTTGCTTGCCGGTCATGGTCTCATCATTCCCTCCCAGGTGCACACAGGACATCCTAGTGTTCTTAGCAGCAATGTCATAGCCAACCCCACCCATCCTGCACTGTGATTTTCTCAGGGCACCTCCTGGCATGGATGGTGGTGATGATGTTGGTGGAGCCTGAAGCTCCCCTGCATTCTAGACTCTCAAATGGATGCTCTTTTACTTGGGTGTTCCTGGAACCTATGAGATGGGGGCCCTTCTTGTGTCCTACAGAGGAGCCAGCCTCAGAGCAGCCTGGTGGTCTGTCCGCACAGACCTTGCTGACAATTCACCCTCTTGACAAAGCTGCCATTCTTCATGGCGCTCTCTCCTCCCTCATCTACAGCATCCATGAGCCTTCTGCAGGCCCCGTGTCTTCCCGGATGGCCAGGGAGGAGCCTCGACTCCAGAGACACTTGCTGGAGTTCTCAGAGCAAGAGCCAGTACAGGAAGTCGAAGCTCTCCCGGGGTTTTCCCCGCACCCTGAGGAACCCCAGGCTGGGCCTGCAGGCCGGCCCAGCTTCAGGTGAGGGGAGAGGGGCCCCGGCTTTATGGGAGGGAGCAAGCTCCCCACAGGGGCGATGGAGAGTCTCCCCAGAAGCCCCTTCTGCCAGCAGACAGAGTTGCTCCTTTGCCCTGCTTGCCCGCTCTGTTGGAGCTGGGCAGTCTCTTACCCTCTTAACCCTGGCCTTCTCCCCCCATCCCAGGAACCTGAGCGCCTTCCCTGGGGGAGCCAAGGAGCTATTGCTTAGAGACCTCGACCAGCTCTTTCTCTCCTCTGACTGCCGGCACTTCAACCGAACTGAGTCTCTGAGGTGAGAATTCAGGGCCAGGCCCCTTCCCTGTCCTCTTAGGACCTTGCCCCTAGCCTGACTGCCCTGGGTACTGAAGTACTGGCTCTCGCTCCACCTCCACCATGTGTGCAGGCCAGGGAAGGAGCATGCCAACTCTGCCTTGCTTCCCCAGGCTCGCCGACGAGCTCAGTGGTTGGGTCCAGCGTCACCAGCGAGGCCGGCGGAAGATCCCTCAGAGAACCCAAGAGAGACAGGTAGGAGGAGGGCTGCTTCACTCTAGGCCATATGGAGGAACTTCCAGAGGGCATTCTTAGGGCTGAGGGCTGCGGGGTGGGTGCCAGGTGGTGTCAGCTTCCAGGGGGTGTCTTGTCTCTCTTCCCTTCCCCCCTCACCCACTCCAAATCCTCAGATACTTCTCCTTCCAGAAGGCTCAGCTGCGGAAGAAATCTCTTCCAGTTAAGACCATCCCTACCCAACCCCTGGGGCCCCCAGAAAGGTGAGGATTGTTTATTAAATGAGGTTCTGCCCCAAAGAGCTGTACACTCCTAGAGTGATCCTAGGTTTGTCCTTGTTGCCATTAGGATGCTGCCTCCTTTACCCAGCAGGGTTCTCCTGTCTGTCGCCTTTTCTCTCACCCTCCTCTCCCTTAGCCCAGTGGGAGCAGGGCACAGGGCTTAGTTCCTCCCAAACCCTGTCTCTTGCCACGCCAGGAGCTCCGTGAGCCAGCTGCAGCTCTACCGCCGCCCAGAGCGTTCGCAGCCTGAGTTTCTGGATGCCATTGACCGGCGGGAAGACACCTTCTATGTGGTGTCCTTCCGCAGGGTGAGTTCCAGCTCCCCAGCAGGGTGTGCTGTGTGGGGCTGTGGCAGTGGGTGAGGGGACCTGGCAACATCTGTTCCTCTCCGACCTGTTTCCCAGGACCACCTGCTGCTGCCAGCCATCAGCCACAACAAGACCTCCCGGCCCAAGATGTCCCTTGTGATGCCCGCCATGGCCCCCAATGGTAATTCTTCTCTAGCTGAGGTTGAGGATAGACATCCCCAGCATGGGGGCTGGGGCACCGGGAGGAGAGGGGCTGCAGACATGCCAGGCTCCTAAGTGTGAAGCTGCTTGCTAGTGGGACAAGGGGACTGCAGGGGCAAGGACCCCTCCTTTTGAAGGTACTTGGGCGGGTGTTGGAGTATGGGGGAGTGGAGGAACTTGCTAGACGCTCACTTGTTATTTTCTCCCCATGTCCTCTTCTCTGTGACCCTGCACTCACCCGTGACACTTTCCTTTCCTGTCCATTTCCTTCTCCCTGCACTGAACTCCATCCATGGTGTCACTCACTGGTTCTGCCCCCTCTCCCATGCCCTTTGCTCTCCTCCCCATTCCCTTCGCCTTTTCTCACCTCCCATTCATGCCCCTCCCTGTCCTCCTCTTTAACTGCCCCCTCCCACAGAGACCCTGTCGGGTCGGGGGGCCTCAGGGGACTATGAAGAGATGATGCAGATCGAGTGTGAGGTCATGGACACCAGGGTGATCCACATCAAGACCTCCACAGTGCCCCCCTCGCTCCGAAAGCAGCCGGCCCCGACCCCGGGCAATGCCACGGGTGGCCCCTTGCCGGCATCTGCAGCCCGCCAGGCCCACCAGGCCTCTCACCCGCCCCTCTACCTCAATCACCCCTGAGTCCTCCCACTCACACTGACTTAGGACCCAGGGGTGGGGCTCAGGGTGGCCAGCTGGGATGGTTAGCAATTGCTCTGCTCCCTGGGCTGGGGCAGCTGTTGAAGGAAGGACAGGGTGTGGAAGGGAAGCACTTGTCTGGAGTTGGGGGTTCACCTCTGTCCTCACCCCTTTTCCAGATATACAGGGCTCCTGCATTCCTCTGAACTCCCAGCCTTGCAACTCTCTTTTAGGGTGTTCAGTGAGGGTGTTTGGTTTTGGGGTGGGCTGAATCCTGCATACTCCTTATTTTGTTTCTCAGTTTGGGGGCTAGAGGTCGGATTTGATCCCCAGGTGGGACAGGAACTTTTTTTTTTTTTGGTACTATACTTCTTGAGCTAGTTTCTGGGAGTACAGGAGGGGTGGTGGAGGAAGATCAAGTTTATGTGTGTGTGTCTCTTATTTTTTATTATAAATAAACAACGTGGAGGAGGGAGTTGAAGCAGTGGTGGCTGCGTTCCTGGCCTGTAATGGGACACAAGGGGCAAAGTGGCTCCTACAGGGCCAGCATCAAGGAGACAAACCCAGAAGCACAGCTGGTCCTCGGGTGGGATCACAGACCTCAGTCACTGCCTGGCCCCACCCTGCAGCCCTGGAGTATGTCTGCATCTAGCAGGGTTGCTCCATGTGCACACACACGCGCACGCTTATACATGCACACACATACGCATAGCAGCCCAGAGGACAGAAATCCCTGGAACAAACATATCAGAGTAAACAGGAAGGACGGGGAGCCCCATGGCCACCAGGGTGTGTGCGTGGCCTCCCTGCTGGGTCCCCTGCTCCCAGCAGGTCTCCCTCCCTCCCTCCCTCTTTCCCCTTGCTTTCCAGGATGAGAAGCTCAAACAAACAAGGACCACTGGGGCCAGCTGGCTCCCAGCCCTGGGGGGAGAGGCCGTGTGGGACGGGGGTGGCACTTGGAAGGGAGGGAAGCAGGGTATTGCAGGTCACCCTCTTCTCCCTAAAATGGAGGAGACTGTATCCTCATCTGGAGGGAGGGAGGAATGGAGCAGGGACTGAGGCGCAGCCCGGTCTGGAGGGAGTCCCATCCCACAGTGCCTCGGGCCTGACCTTGCAGGAGCTGCCTGGGTCAGCTGGAGGGTGTGAGCTGGGCCTGGGCTCCATGCCCGGATGACTGGACAGGGGCTGCCCGGGCCATAAGCCCAGGCCTGAAGGGGGGAGAGAAAGAACCTCACGTGGCCAGCCAGACTTTCTCCCCCAACCCCCCACCCTGACTGTGTTTGGGGTGAAAACAGACCCAGTGGCTATGGCAACCTGGAACTGGGGCTCCCAGGAACTAGACCTCTCCTCCCTCCAGAGGGCAGCCCTGGCTCCTCAGCCGTGCTTCCTGTCCCAGGGCCCCTGGGTCCTTAGCCAACATCCTCCAGGCAGTGTTTGGTGAGAAGCAGGATCTAGGGGCAGGTCCCCTGCCTTCCCTGTCATTAGTAGGTGCCCCGAACCACTCTGAGCCTTCGTTCTCTGTGCCTGGGAGATGGCTGCACCTCCGGCTCCCAGGTGAAACGTGGCGGAGGTTCCAGGAGCACAGAGGACCACCGTCTCTACCCTCCTTCCCTTCACCATTGACATTGACCCTTTCTGCCTCTTCCACCTTCATCCCTGCTGGGGCCACTGCTGCTCATTTCCTCTTTATTCTCTGTTTTTCCCGACCCCACTAGAGGAAGGTGCACCTCAGTGACTGGCCTGGCGCAGACAGCTGGCACTCCCATGGGAACCTAGCATCAGACCTCCTGGCAGAAGTGTGGAAAGGTGTCTTCCATGGGAGTATAGGCAGGTCCTGGGCCACTGCCCCAGGCCCACGTGGGTCTCCAATCCACCTCAGAGGCCAGGCTACCGGCACACCTGCACCTGAGGGACCCCAGTGCTCCCAGCTTTTATTCCTCACCTCTCCTGTCCCTGCCATCCCTCCCTCCCTCTCCTCACTACACCCCAGCTGGCACAGTGTGGGGGTTGGGAAAGTTGTATCACATCTGCTTCCCTCCCTGTCTCAGTTTTCCCATTGCCTCGCCTCCCGCTCTTGACCTTGTGCTCACCACCTCCCTTGTTCGTGCCACCCCTGTCTGGCTGCCTTTCCACTCTTGTGTCCTCGTTCTTGTCCTTCCCATTCCTTCCTCTCTCCTCCCCAGCTCCAGGCCTGTCCTCTTCCCTCCCCCTCCTTGCTGTGCATCCCCACGCCAATCCCCTATCCTCTCCCCAGCTGTGGGGGCCGGTGCCGGGGAGCCCAGTATTTGCCTCATCGTTCTGCTATGGCTTCTGGATGCAGCACATCTGGATTCCGGGGCCCAGATGTGTGGTTGCCACAGCGACCTCAGTCCCTCTGGTAAATACAGGCGCCCACCCGGCTCAGAGTAGAGAGGAAAACAATTGTGTGACTTTTCTTTTGTCACGAGATAGAAATGTCCTCCCTCCTCCCTTTTCCTCACGCCCATGTCTCTAGACAGAGGAAGTTGTAAGGGTCCCCTCAGGTCCAGGCCCTTCCTGCCGTGGTTCCCTTGTCTTGGGTACCCTTGCCCGTGAGTGCTGGCTGGTTTTCTGTCCCTACCCTGCCCCACCTCCACCCCCTAGCTCTCATTAATGGACCCCCCCCCCCCACACACACACAGCTTATGTAATTCTGAGTCTACAAGGCAGCTCTGCAGAGGGAGATGCCTGGGTTCCACAGCCTTCTCTCCACGAGTCCTTCTAGGAGCTGCTTGGTGTCTCTGCTCTCCGCAGTCCTTCCCTTTCCCAGTGCTGATGTTGAGAGAACACACAGGCTTTGAAATCAGGAAGCTGGGGAGGTCCCACTTCCTGGCCACCAGCAAAGTCCCCTGGATGAGCCACGGTGTCTGAGCTGCTGCTTCCTTGGGACTAATAAAAACACCTGCGCTGTGTCAGAAACGGCTTTGTCCACAGAAGTCCAGCATGACCGTGTGCCAGCTCTCCCGCTCTGGCACTGCTTGCCTGGACCACAGCTCTGACCTCCCCTCAACGCACCGCCGTCATCCCTCAAGTCCTTTTCCTGGGTTGCCCTCACTCCTGTCTTCCTTCTGGCCTTCCTACCTTCCCCTTCCTTTTCTGTGTCTGTTATCTGTAACCTCCTGAGCTCAGGTCAGGAACCTGCAAGATCATTCAAGGTGGAGGTTGGAGCAGAATACCCCCGGACTGAGGATCCCGGGAATAGCCAGAGTGCATGACCGTTCCCTGCATCACTGTGACCTTTCTGCCCACCCCCAGGACACTTCAGTGAAGCCCACCCAGCTCTGACCTGGCCTACCTCTGTGGCTCCCCACCACACCCCCCATTCCCTCCTCTCCCCATCTCTCACTGCTGCTGCTGACAAGCACTCAGGGTCCTGCACCACGCAGGCTCCTTCCCCTCCTGATGAGGGGCAGGCATGTGGAAGGTACAAGTTCCTCCAGAGTCAAAACCCAACAGGTGGTTAAAGTGCGAGACCATGGTTACTTTGGAATCTGAAATCTGCCTAGTACCCAGTGGTTTTCCCAAGTGTTGTGCCCCGTGATAGCTTCTAAAAACGGGCTATCCCTTGGCTCTTGTTTCTTACCATAGTTCCTGGGTCACACATACCTAGGAAGACCATGTTTCTAAAATACTAAAACCAAGATAGGGCCTGGAGGGACACAGACATGGCTGTAGACCAGGAGCAGAGAACACTCCTCTGTGGTCCGCTGTTGCACCAATCCACAACCCTCACCCTTTTAGCTACTGTCCCCACCATCCCCCACTCCCTGCCAGGAGGTCTGAGAGAAGCTGTTACCTACTCCTGCTTTGGGGGCCCGGGGCCAAGGCTCAGGAAGGAAACTGAGCCCAGCTTTGTCTCAGATGATGACTTCATTCTCTTCATCAAAGCCAGGAAAAAAGCACACACATGGGGACACCCACGCGAGAGGCACACGGCTCTAATGGGGCTGCCACGGGGCCAGCGCACCCCATCCAACCACAGCAGCACACCTGCACACCACATGCAGACAGCTGTACCTCGGTGCAGATCCCTGGCAGAACTGGGCCCCTTCGTGCCCCTTTGCCTGTGGCCTAGGACTTGGCCAGGGGACACCTGGGTGGTGAGGTGGCAGCAGGTTAGGGAGAACTCTGTCTTCAGTGTGGAGCCTGGGGCGGGTTCTCCCTTTGCCCCAGTAATTTCTGCTCAGTGGAAAAAAATCTTTTCAATCCCCCATGAGGGCAGCACAGGGGGAAATGAGGGCACAGGGAACACCCAGCCGTGCCTGTTTGCCCATTCACCCCCTTTTATTTTCCCTTTTATTTTTTTGTCACCAGCTGATACCCAAGTGCCCTTTGCCTATGACTCCCAACATTGTGCCTACTCCTTTCTTGCTCCCCAGCAGTCAGTCCCGTAGGGCTTTCCAGTACTCAGCCCCTTCATGTGCGTGCCCCACCCCCTGTTTGCCTCCTCAGTCAGAGGTCATCTGTACACCGTCCTGTTGACCTTCCCCGGCCTTCTCCACCCCAGTTTCCTCCCGAAGTCTTAAGCCCCTGTGTCCTGGTGTCCAGCCTCACCTGCTGCGTCTCTGGGGCTTGGCTGAGGTGGGAGAATGAAGAGGGCGGTGATTCTGAACGAATAACACGAAAGACACCTGGCAGGACTGCTGGGAAGAAGCAGCAACAGCCAGGTGGGAGCAGTGGGGACCGATGGGGCTGGGATGTGGAGTCCAGAGCCAGCTCCATGTGGCCAGAGGAAACTTCCCACCCCTTCCTCTGCTCCCCGCCCCACACTGCCTGGTGGCTGCAGAGGGTGAAGACATGAACCCATAGACAAATGGACTGAGATCTTTGCTGGAACGGTGGCTAGAGAGAGCAGGGAGGGGCTGCGGAGAGGGGTCAGCAGAGGAAGAGTGTTGGCAAGGAGAGAGCCTGCCAGAAGGGAAGGGCGACAGGTGGGGAAGTGAAATAGCCCGAGGACAGGATATCCAGTTGGACAGAAACTAGGGTGAGTTTTACATGGGATGGGGGAAAGAACGATGAAGGGGGCAAGGTGAGGCTCTGGTGGGAGTAGGGAGTCTAGACAGGGAAGGGGCGGGGGGAGGGGGAGGAGGGGTGGGAGGCCCTGCCCTATCTCCGCTCCCCTTCCTGACCTCATACTAGTCCTCCCCTTCTCCTCCCCCTGCTCGCTGCGTCTCTCCTCTCCTCCCTCTCTGTCATTGCCGAAATCCACGGTCGGTCGTGGTCAGGGCTCAGTAAGCCTCTCCTGCAGGGGACAAGCGCAGGGCCCTTCAGGGAGCTCACCCTGCCCTGCCCGGAGGCACTGCCTTTCCAGAATTGGGGACGGCAGGTGTAGAAACACTACAAGTGCTCCGCGACCCAGGTAAGGAACCGCTAACCAGATACTTGGAGGAGAGGGCGCGGCAAGGGGCTTCTCTGTCATCCCCACCTGTTGGGCGGCCGAAGTGCGACCGGACGGAC